TTGAGTTTTCCCCATAGCATCGTCCTTGTACGCCGTTTTTAACATTTCAAGAGTTTCTGTTCCACTTTTCCCGAGCAAAAAGCAGAATTTCACCGCCGCACGCTGTTCACGAAAATCAGCCATTGCAAAAACGACGATCACACAAAACAGTTGTCACTATAAACTCTGCCGAAACTAGTCCTTACCTTCTGAAGCAACGGTAGTCGGCTTATCGACTCAGGAATGTTAGCTCTATGCGCTCATAGCAGCAAAACGCAGTACTACAAAAGCTCTGCCCACAAAAAAATTAGTTTGATTTCTTTTGGGTACCCCATCGTATAATAAAATTAAACCAAAGTACTACACAATGCAGTGTGATAGCTTTACAAGATCAGACATGTGTCTCCAGTAAATGATCATCAAGATTGACGTGTTATGCAAAATCACAAATAATACCTGGGAAAATATGTGAAAGAGGATATAAATGCCTACATAATTTTGGTCTGAAAAAGTGAAGAAGCGGGACGTCATGGGATATCTAGGTGTAAGAGGGAAGATGATACTAAAATGTATCTAGGAGAAATAGAGTCAGATAAGGTGGAGGATTCATCTGGCTTAGGAAAAGGACCAATGGCAGGCTTTTGTGAACACAGTAGTGAAAAGTACCACCTTCTAAGATGTGACACCATGCATTTGCATGTGCTACATGTTTCAGCATGTTATGGCCATCATCAGATACACAGAGCTTTCGCAGTCACCCTTCCTTCTATCTGCTGTACCTCCCTACACTGGTCAAGGTTTACACATTGGGAGTGCATTGGACAGGTATGTTGTTATGTAATGCCCTTATGTTGTAAATTATATTAATTATTAAAATTTAAACTTTTTTAAAACTATTAAAGTATTGTTTTGTGTTGCCAGATTATGAAGTGGTGTTTTTCAGTGTGTGTTTTTGTGTTTCATGGGATTCTTCCTATGATCTTGTGTTAATGTGGTTATACACAGTGTGTCCAGGTTCTGTTGGGACTGTGTTCATTAAAAATACGAGACGTGAATTATTTTCAAAATTTCATTCCTTTTAATCGAAATAGTCTCCTTCTGAATCAATTGAAAAGTTTTCGAAAACAGTCACTGTACTCCTTTTGTGGAATCGCATTTAAAACTGCAGTACATTCCCTTCGAATGTCCTGGATGGTGTCATGATGGTCTCCTTTCATCACCAACATAACTTTTGGGAACAACCAGAAATCTGCTGGAACCAAATATGGCGAATACAGAGGATGATCAAGGACTGTGATCCCTTTTATGGCCAAAAAAATCACACCCGAGCTTCGATTTGTGGGGTGGGGCAGCGTCATGGAGGAGCGACCAGGAACCTTGCTCTCGATATTCAGGTCAAATTTGAAGAATTCTCGCCCACAAACGATTGAGGACTCCAAGATAATAATCAGAATTCACTGTTTGAGCTTCTGGCAGAAATTTCTTGTGAATGATTCCTTTGGAATCGAAGAAAACGGTTAGCAGTGTCTTTGCTCGACTCTTTTGCATGAGCACTTTCTTTGGTTTCGGCTTCTTTGGGCTCAACCATGCTGCACTCTGCCGCCTTGTGAGAGGCTCATATTGAAAACACCATGTCTCATCACCAGTAACAATCGATTTTGTAAATTTTGTATCACTTTGGACCGACTGTAACATGTCTTTGCAGTGTTCCACTCTGGCATAGTTTTCATCGCCTGACAGCGTGCGCAGTACAAACCGCGCATAGACCTTCCGTTTGCCCAAATCCTCAGTCAAAATTTGATGCACAGTACTTTTTGGTATTCCCAAAAGCTCCTCGATGAGTCTTGCAAAAACAATGCAAGGATTTCGGTCACTTTTTTCACATTTTCTTCAGTGCGACTTGTTCTCAGCTTTGATGCATGTGGAGCGTCTTCAGTGTCCTCCCTGCCGTCACAAAATACGGCATATCATAGAAAAATGTTCCAGCGACTCAAACAGTCACTACCATACAGACTTTTAATCATTTTGTACGCTTCTCCGGCTGATTTGCCTAACTTCAAACAAAATTTGATGTTGGCTGTCTGTTCAGCCACCATTTTCCGACGAGCGTCGGAACAGTACTGTTACATTCAAGGTCAGAACACATAATGCAGTGATGCTTGCTCTTTGAAATTATAGACGGCCACAGCTGAAACTTCAAGAATCTTAATGCCACAGCTCGCCAACAGATGGCATTGCAGCACAAAATTTAAAAGAATGAGTTCTAACAGATCCTGGACACACCGTGTATATAGGCCTGTGGGTGTGTGATGTGGTGTTTTCGTGTTCTTCTCTTTTCTTGGCCTGCCCTTTTGTGGAGAGAGTGTTGTCTGCACGAATGACATCAGATCATAGGAAGAATCCCATGAAAAACAAAAACGCACATTAGCAAACACCACCTAAAAATCTGGCAACACAAAACAATAGTTTAATATTTTTAAAAAAGTTTAAATTTTAATATGTGATACATTTTACAACATAAGAGCATTACATTAACAACATACCCATACAACGCACTCCCAGTGTGTAAACACTGGTCACTGTAGGTAGGTATAGCAGGAAGAATGAAGTGTGATTGTACCTGATGATAGCCACAACAGGCCAAAACATACAGTACATGCAAATGCATGGTGTGTTTATACCAGAATTGTGTTGGCTGAATAATAATAAACATTGTCTTACACACAGTGTTATGCTACAGTATATTATTTTTGATGACACCATATAGTGTGGTAGAAATCTACAAATGTTTCAGAGAACTGTTTTGCCTCCATGTTCAGGGTCAGAGAGTAAGCTGAACAAACAAACAAGCTGCTTGCTGTTTGCTCGTTGGCTTAACTCTGGAAATGGAGACAGTATATTCTCCAAAACACTGGCAAATGCCTACTAGAAGACATGGCTTCACATCTCAGAAGATAGTACTCTTGATCCACTTATGTTTGTGATTTTGCTGTAACTGTTTTTGAGGTCCGTTACTGTCTGCAGGTGCATAAGTGTGTAGTTGTGCTGTAGGTCTCTGTAAATGTATATCTGAATTGAACATGATTGCATGTGTGTTGTACCGAATATATCAACATCATAAATTTTAAATTCAGGTGATGTTTAGAAAGTTGAGACACTATAGTCACTTTCCACCTGATGTACCACCACTTAATCTAAAAATGGTACCTTGACTGGAGGTGAGGCATCGATGGATGCAGAAGTTCTAATAACTTATTTCAGCCTTCAAAGTAATACGAGTAACTAATAGTGCAGATACTTAAAATTGTGCTATTACCAGGGTACTTGTTCTTCAGAGTCATTTTCTCATTTTTCTAATTCTTTCATCAAACCTTAAAACACCTTCTCTGAAGTTTACATTAAAGTGGCCATGCTCTTGTGATATCCACCATAATACTTCATGTTTTAATGCTTTAATTAAATCAGAATTAAACTTTATTCTCCTTTCAAAATTATCACAATATTCTCCCTGTTTCTGCCTTTCTTTACAACTTTTAAAGGCAGCTGTCCTTTTCAGTGTTTCTTCATGGAATTATGTTTGAGAAATTTGTAGAGAGCAGTGCTTGGTGGGGATGGAATGCAGGCTCTTCTGTTAACCATTTATTTTCGCAGTCTTGGTGGTATATCAAGTGAGAGAGTTGACTGGAGACTGCTGTGTAAAATGTTACCCTTGGTGTCTTCCGCAGGTGAACTGGTAAGACATGTTCGGTACAGACATACACACGAGAAACCACATAAATGTACAGAGTGTGATTACGCGAGCGTGGAATTGAGTAAATTGAAGCGTCACATGCGCTGCCACACTGGCGAGAGGCCATACCAGGTGAGCCATGAAAACAACCTAGCTGTCTGTGTTATCTTCCGCAGGTGAACTGGTAAGACACGTTCGGTACAAACACACTTACGAGAAACCCCACAAGTGTACGATATGCGACTACGCTAGTGTGGAACTCAGCAAAATGAGGAATCATATGAGATGCCATACTGGCGAGAGGCCGTATCAGGTGAGCAATCCTTCATACCAGACATCAAACAATTGATCAACTTAAGTGGGACTATTTCAGTTTATCGGTAATAAGACATAAATGCTGATTTTAGGCTGCTAAGAGATGCAGTTGTGAGAATGTTATGTTTGATTTTAGAAGAATTCTTCATCAGTGCTTATATTATTTGCATTAGATTGGCATCTGAATCACAAATAGTGTTTAAGTTTGTCTTAGCCATTTCATGCCCACATTCACTTTTAGATCCTGTGCAGTTTAATACCATTATCAAGAACCTGATGTCAAGCTAGTTATTGGTTTTGAAGTAGTGACAGTAATGGTATCTGAAACGTCACTTGGCACAAAATAAATTATTAGTTGCTTCCCAGCATAATATGGCCTTACATAAATGTTATTAAATTGCATATTTGGCGTCTGGTATAATATTTAATATTGTACTCCAGTTTGAAGACTAAGAAAATAATGTTGATCACACCCAAACTATGAAAATGCCAACAGTTTTCTTCTTCTTCCTCTTCTTTTGGTATCAAACACTAGTGGAGATTTTCATGAATGTTATGTGACAATGCACTGTACATACCTGAGTGGAAGACAATCCATCTACCATTAAGAAACATATCTGAGCGTAGTTGGTTGAGGCACTATGCTACAAGCCGGAAGGTCCCGATGAACTTGTTCGATTTTTTTTTTTCAATTGACCTAATCCTTCCAGCCCCACTATGGCCCTGGGGTCGACTCAGCCTCTAACAGAAATGAGTACCAGGAATATTTTTGGGGGGTAAAGGGCGGCCGGCGTGTAGATCTGACAACCTTGCCGCCATCTGAGCTGATTTTCTAGAAAATGTGGGAGCCTCAACATCGCACAACCCTATGGGCCTCCACTGCCTGTTACAGGGATACCTTTACTTACTTTAACTTTATTTTATCTGCTCATGAAAACAGTTTTATTATGAATTTTGTACAGTTACTTAAAGCAGACATGTGAAAGATAAGAACTATTTGAAAGTATGTTGTATGTTACATTTATTAAAGCATGTAATATGTGAAGCTTTCACTGTGAATGAATGTTCATATGTGATCAACTGCGTCAGAGTTCAGTTTCATAGCCTGCTCTGTCTTTGTCATCAGGATTGATTTGGGGAATGACCCCATAAATCTTTAAACAAAAGATAACAGGAACAAAGAAATGAACCAGAAAGATGCATGACAGGAGAGCGATATCAACATGAAAGTGTTCTGTATCTGAAAATAATAATATGCTTCTCAGTAATACCTCCTTCAGTAAAAGAGGATTTGTGGATTGCACACAGTAATTTCCAAAATTTGATCTTCCTGTGTGCCTCATACATATGTTGCAAGATTTCATCTCATTTTGTTTTTACATAGTGACCTTCCAGTTTCTTTCTCCACTTGTAACTGCTTCTTACAGCTAGTTATTACATATTTTCCATATCCTCCTCAGAAATGACAGACATGCCACTAGGCTTACTCTTTGTTTTAAAACATGTGAAACTTAGAGGTATACCTCTGGACATTCTAAACTTGACAGTAAGTTCAGGTGAATGGTAAGCTTCATGCCCGGGCAACTTTGCCTCTAGAGAAGGTACTCCTGGTACTCATTGGATTGTGGGGACCCAGGATCAGTTCTCATGTAGTGATAAAGAGAAATCTCTCCGTCTGGCAGGAGTCAAACCTGGGTTCTCCTGTTGTCCTTCCCATAGTCTGCTCACTGCACTGATTGATGTTTACCAAACTTATGCTGCCCTTTGGTAATGAATGAATGCAGTGTGTGTTGCTGTGCACCTCATAGTTTCTTGCTTCAGTTTTAAATTGTCACAGACTTTTTGTGTGTAGTAGTGTTCGACTATATTTCTTGAGAAATGTATTAAACAATCACCTTTTTTATTTTCTCCTCAGTGTCCACACTGTACATATGCAAGCCCAGACACATTCAAGCTGAAACGTCACCTTCGTATACACACTGGTGAGAAACCATATGAATGTGACATCTGCCATGCACGCTTCACCCAGTCCAACAGCCTAAAGGCACATAAACTCATCCACAGCGGTATGTATTGAATTATTATTGGATTTGTATTATGTCAGGGATCTGCAGATTACACGAGTGAGTCAGACGCATGGCGTGAATAATGTATTTGCTTAGTTCCAGAATAATGTGGAAATGTAGAAGAACCGTAGGATGTATTTCGAATGTGTCACTCAGTGTAAAATGTTTGGCAGTCACATCCTCCTCCTATTTAAGGATTAGGCTGATAGCCTGTTCTTGCCTCTTTCAGTTCCACCTTATGCATGGTACACCACTAGATTACATCAAGAAGATATGTTACATAGCTCAATTAATGGCCATTTGCCGCTGTTCTCAACAAAAATACTCACATGCATCTGTGTTAGGATGAAATTTCAGACATTTTATACTTGTATAAAATAGTACATACAGTACTTGTATGTACAAGTACTGATGGTGTTTGCCAGTCCCTTCAAATGACAAGGTTATACCAGTGTACACATTTTCCCCCAGATGCAAAGAAAATTTAAGTATAATGTGTCGAATCTTGGAAGAACCAAAACGTACTCTGATTAGTGATTGATGTACCTTGTTCATTTACGTTTCCCCCTCCCCTCCAAATATAGGAACTTGCAAATTAGGTTCTCGTGGAAAATTGACTGGCTGGTAAAATCTGAAAATGGAGGCATGGCAGTAAATGTGGTAATTACATCAAGTTGGTCGTAAGGGTATTATGAATAGTGAGTTTGACATGAGAGGGGGAGAAAATGATTTATAAATTATTTGGTGTATTCCTTTGTAACTGAAGTGCATGAATGCTCATAAGAGCCGACATGGATGAATGTTTAATTCATCTAGACAGAAGTTCAGTAGAAACTGATGCCAGATCTGGTTGGACAGTTTAATCACCATTAGAAAGAGATTGTGCTCATAGTAATCACTCCTATGAAGTGGCTTAAGAGACAGTTACTCATATGATCCCAAAGCTTTCATGGGAGCTGTATGCAATCAGACCTTTCCAGGGTGGTCCCTCATGTCCGTGTGGATATGGTATCTGTCATTCAGAGGCTGTCTTTGTCACCATCAGGGGTCAGTGTGTTGAGTGTGGATGTAACGAGCATTACACCACCACCTGATGATGGAGACAGTCTCCACAATGTTTGATAATAACTGCTCGGTGACATAACTGATCGTGCCGAAAAGACTCTTATCACAGACATTTTTGAGTCTGTGCATTTGTCAGTTCAGCCAAATTCAAGATGGCATAGTATTGTTGATTACAACACCTGCAACCAAATAGGGAACACACAACACGAGACACGATATACACTGAGAGTAAGAGGAACGACTCCCATAGTGATGGAACTATGCGTGGTGTTAGAATTGGGACAGATAAGATAAATAATCTTAACAAGTTTTTAGTATATAAATATTTATTATAATTGACGAACATTTTTAAATATTTTTTAAATTTTACAATGACATAATGGCAAGCAATGAAATAGATTAATGTAAATGGAGCTCCTGATGATGGCACTATAGTGCCGAAACATGTCGTGAAATAACAAGTGAAATTGAGTGCACTGAAAGACGGACACTGCTTACGTATCATGGATGGCATAGTATGTCTGAATTATAAGAGCACTTGCAAAATTTCCAACACGCTTACATTAAAGGTAATGTTCTTGAGTTTTAACAGACTAATACTTTTGGATATTAATTTCTTGCAGCTGGAGATAAGCCAGTATTCCAGTGTGAATTATGTCCTACAACATGCGGACGCAAGACTGACCTTCGAATTCATGTACAAAAACTTCATACCTCAGACAAACCCCTCAAGTGCAAGAGATGTGGTAAATCTTTCCCGGACAGGTACACATACAAGGTAAGATAACATGTTTATGCTTTGAAAAATACAAAAAAATGTTCCTTACAGAATATTGTATGGATACTATCTTCTGAGATGTGATACCATATAGATACCAATATTTTGAAAGAATGTGCTGCGTCCAATTTTAGTCAAACTTCTTGCTTCTTCCACCCTGAAGATGGAGGTAGCACATTCCTATGAAATATTGGTTAACCCTTACCAGCCCATACTGCATCATATCCTCAGATCTCATGAACACGTTTATTGTATATGCCGCCATTTTCTTTTTCCAGATTCATAACAAGTCACATGAAGGAGAAAAGTGTTTCAAGTGTGACCTTTGCCCATATGCTTCCATATCTCAGAGACATCTCGAGTCCCACATGTTAATTCATACAGATCAAAAACCATATCAATGTGACCAATGTGATCAGTCATTCCGTCAGAAGCAACTGTTGCGACGGCATCAGAATTTGTACCACAATCCCAACTATGTACCACCACCACCAAGAGAAAAGACTCACGAATGTCCTGAATGTGGGAGAGCGTTCCGACACAAGGGGAACCTCATACGACACATGGCAGTGCATGATCCGGAGTCCTCGGCGCAAGAGAAGGCCCTCGCCTTGAAACTTGGGCGACAGAAGAAGATTCAGGTGAATGCGAGTAATCTCTCAGTGAAGTTACAGAACTATGCAGTTAATTTATTTTCCTAAATTGATGTTGTATATGAAGAAGATTCTTCAGGGGAAGGAATTTTAGCTTCTTTTCCTCGAATCATTTGTTTTATACAGATTGATGGATGAAAATTCTCCATCCACATGTTTCTTCACACAGTTCTCCCTTTTTTATTCATTGCCAGCCCTTTTCTTGCTCCTGAAGTAAAGTAAAGCTATCCCTGTAACAGGCCGTGAAGGCCCATAGGGTTGTGAGACGTTAAGGGTCCCACATTACCTTGACAATCGGCTCAAAGATGGCGGTAAGGTTGTCAGCCTTACGCGCCGGCCGCGCTTTACTTCCCAGGAAAATTATTTATTTAATTCCTGGTACTCATTTCTGTTCTTGTTTTATATCATCTCATACCTTTGCTTTTCTGTGAATTTTCTTGGTAACTTTCCTCTGCTTATCCTTTTTATATGACAAGGCCATTGTCATTGTTTCTCTTCTAACTACTGACAGTTTTTTAATTTATACTTCTCCCAAAATTTCAGTTATAATTCTGTCCCATCTTTGTATTTCAGTACTTATAAAAAACTGCATATCCAATTTATGACTGTCCTTATGTTTCTCTTTTTAATCGTCTGTTTTTCAGCATCATATGTTTATATGAGGTTAAAATTTCTAAAAGGTTCTGACAATGTTGTGTAACACTCAGAATTGCTGGGTCCATTGGTTCAGGTTAGCTCTTTCTAAGGGACCCAACAGAGTAGGTTTGTCCCACTTCAACTGAGGATGGAAACACATCCATTTTCCAAAATGTTGTGTTCTCTAGTCTTCAGAATACTGGACAATGAACAAAGTACAAAAACCCAGTAATTTTGAGAGTTTAAAATTTACTTTGTAGGCTGTTGTCTTGCATTGTTTTCGTATCTCATGTTCTCTTATATTCCTTTTAAAACATGATAATAATTAGAGTTATTTTATATTCTTTGATTTACCTTTTCATTGAGTTCCCCTTCTGAGTTAGACTTCCAAAATAAATAGAATAGCCCACCACTTTAACCATTATGTCATTAACTTTCATTCTGATATTTTTTCTAAGTGCCTCAAAATTCTTGTGTTAACTTTCTTGCACATTTTCATTCCATATATTTATAATAAGATTATATAAATTTGGTTTCTTTTAAAATTCCCTTTCATCTTTCCCCTCAACCAACACATCATCTATAAATACATGTTAATGTTTTCATGACCCATCTTATTCTCTTTTCTAAGTTTATTAGCAATTCATCCATCATAGCATTAAATGTGACTGGTGAGAGGATACATCTAGCCTTGCTCACAACTTGTCTTGAATCATCTTGATCTCCGTAATTCATGCAGTAAATATATGTTAGCTTCACGTTTTCAGTAAGGTATTGCGGTGCTTTTAATCATCTTAAGCTCAATTAAATCTCTTCTTTGTTTGAACTGTCAGATTCATTTTTAACCTGTATAAGAACAATTACTGTACCCATGCATGAGGAGCTTCACAACTTGTACTCTTCTCCAAGTATAATTAGAATGATCAAATCAAGGGGGATGAGATGGGCAGGGCATGTAGCACGAATCAGGGAGAAGAGGAATGCATATTGGATATTGGTGGGAAAGCCAGAAGGAAAGTAACCATTGGGAAGACCAAAACATAGGTGGGTGGGCAATATTAAAATGGATCTTAGAGAGATGGGATGGTATGTATTGGATTGATCTGGCTCAGGATAGGGACCAGTGCAGAGCTCTTGTGAACACGGTAATGAACCTTCATGTTGCTGGAAGTTCTTGAGTAGATGCACAATTGGCGGTTTCTCAAGAAGGGCTCAGCTCCGTGAGTGAGTGAGTGAGTGAGTGAATTGCTGTACCCGTGACAAATTTCCAGTATTTCTCAGTTGTCTCATTGTACCTGTCAGACCTGGCATGAATATATCTCAGTGAAATGCCTTTTGCTCCCCACAAAGTGCCCCTTATTGTAGTATTCCTTTGGGGACTAACTCTGAATTCTGATTTTTGTATATTTCTCCAGATTATTGATGGGCAGCAAGTTGAAGTAATGGCAGGAGAGGAGGATGATGATGAAGATGATGACACTGATGGGGAAATGATGGCTGTTGAGCAGGATGGACAGCAATACGTTGTATTAGAAGTCATTCAGCTACAGGTAGGGAACAGAATGAAAGCAGTTTTGTTATTCAAGATTCACAAACACATGAGGAGATTACATCTTGGGAATTCATGCTAACATTCACTTCACTGTCCATCTGATATTAAAAACGCAGAGGTTAAGATATACAAAACCATAATTCTGCCTGTTCTTTGTTACCCATCTCACACTAAGAGACGAAAATAAACTGAGGGCGTATGGGGACGTGATATTGAGGAGAATACTTGATTCTAGGTGAGATGAAGTAAGAGGAGGCTGGAGAACACTGCATAATGAGGAGCTTCTTAATTTTGCATTCCTTGTCTGATATGATTAGGATGTTAAAATCAGGGAGGCTTAGATGGGCATAGGCTTGTAGGGTGCCTGGGAAAGCAGAGAAATGCATACATAGTTTTGATAGGAATACCTACATATATGAAATAGATTACGTGGAAGACCAAAGCATAGATGGGAGGGTAATAATAGAAGACATCTCACTGATACAACCTCTTTATTATACCCGTCACAACACAACTAATATCAAGATCAGACCATTTTTGGCCCCGCTGCATGTTTCGGCCATTGATGGTCATCATCAGGCAAACACATGATTTACACACATATACACACCACTGAACCCCAGCACCAACAAAATTGGATCTCACTGAGATAGGATTACTCGTGATTTAGACTCATCTGATTCAGAATGACTAGTGATTGGCTGTTGTGACCACCCTGTATAGTGTTATAGTAAGTGTTAATCTACACCAAAAGTAAATATTCTGTTATTTCTAATAGAGTCATTGCATTTATTTTATATATTAGTGTAAAGTGTTGTGATGGTTAAGTACTTAACATAGTTTGATGATTTTCTCAGGATGGTGATGGTGAGCAGGCAGTAGCCGTTGTGACGGGTGATGCAGCACACACCATGGAGCAAGCAGTGGCGCTACACACTGGTGAGAGTGATGGAGAGGGTATTTTAGCAGGCCAACATATCACACCAGACTCACGTAAGAAGTTGAAGTGTGTCTGCACTAAAAGTCGTTAGACAAATCATATTTTGATCCATACTGGTTGACCAGACAGGTTGGCTGCACAGTAACACTTCCGACTTACATTCTGAATGTGACTGCTGTGAAACTCACCCAGATTACTGACTAGCCTGTCGTTTTATGCTTTTCTTCAGTAATTCCAGACCGATACCAGAAGATTATGCAAAATTAGGCCATGATCGCTTCCTTCCACACACTTTCCGGTTCATTGTTCAATGCCATGTGCTATATGGTGTGATCAACAGTGTCATTACATAAACTACACATACATAAAAGAAAAACTATACTGGTTCATTATAATGTTAGTTTACAGTATTGAACCTTATTGAATATATCAGAAACAGCTGTTGCGCCCTCATTGCTTTCAGACACATAGATTCAAAATGAGTTGTTTCATTATATTTTAACTTTTAGGAACATAAAATTTTACATAGGCAAGTTCTGGCAGATATGATGGATGTTCTAACATGATAAGATTAGCAAAGTGCATAATGTCCTGCGCATGATTATTTGCTTTTATTATTTGCAAAACAAATTATGGTGATGAAACCATTTCGTATGATACAGCTCTTGATGTGGGACAGTATTCTGTGTGTCAGTGTATGGATATGTTGTTGGATATTGTCTGTTGCCTGAGAAATATTTTATATACGTCGTGATGTTTTGGGAGTTGGCTGTACTCCTGTCACCAGGTGATTTCACTAAGAGGCAACGATTGAGTTGAACCTGGGATCTAGTACACTATTACCAGACTACCCCAGTATGTTGCTGGCATGTAGTGTATGCTATAAGTGCCAGAGTGTGGACATTAATTTTAAATATTTGTAAAATGCTGTTTCAGAATGAATTGTTTTTACTTAATATGTTTAATTTAAGTAAGAAGCGGGATCAACTTTATGTGAAAAATTACTTTATAAAGTCGTTCAGTTGTTGCAGTGGTGAAATATCTTGTGTTTGCGGTATTTGTCAGTGTTCAGTTAATCATTGTTTTCCCATAGAAACACTAAAGCACTATTGAATAGTCTTTCTCCTCAAACATCCAAATCATATTTTCATGTGGAAATTGACGTCAGTGACCCTTAAATGAACTTTCAAAAGGAGATAGAGAGGTGTTTAATTTTAACTTCACATTATATTATATAAGATTTGAAGCTGTCATGACTGCTGAGGGAGCCGGGATAGCATAGTTGGTATAGTGATTGGCTATGGGCTGGACAACCGAGGGGTCAGTGTTCAAATCCCGGTAGGGTTTAGAATTTTCTCTTCTCCACATTGTCAGACTGGCTCCAGGGTCCACCCAACTACCTATCCAATGGGTACCGGGGGCTCTTTCCCCACAGGTAAAGCAGCTGGGGCATGAAGCTGACCACTCACCTCCAATTAGCGCCGAGGTCAAGAAAATGTGGATCTATACATCCACTCCCCCATATGCCTTCATGGCATAGTGCTTAATTAGTTAAGCAAAGGGATAGCTTTACCTTACCTTTACTTTTACATGGCTTCTGAGAGTGATGAAGTATTGTCAAGTGACCACCTCTGTCGAAGTCTGAAGGGAAATGATGTTCTGATAAAGGTTACATAGAAGGTCTCTGAAACGTTTGGCTTCAGTCCTGAAATGATGCGGCTGGTTGCCTGAGAAGCTTCTGCCGTGTAAAATATAATGTTAAAATAGTCCTGTTACTAATAATACAAATTCCACCATCAACACAACTATAATTCATTAACTTAAGTTCCACTACATGTTTCGACTGGGGCGGTAGCATAGTTGGTTGAGGCACAATGCTATAAGCCAGAAAGTCGCGGGTTCAAGTCCCAATGAGGTCGTTGGATTTTCTTTTCAATTGACCTAATTCTTCGAGGCTCACTATGCCCCCTGGGGTTCTGGCTGTGCCATAGCTCAAGCGGTTAGTCACTGGCTTCCCACCGCGGCAGTCCGGGTTCAATCCCAGGTCTGATCAAGTGGGATTTGTGGTGGACAAAGTGGCGCTGGGGTGGGTTTTCTCCGAGTACTTTGGTTTCCCCTGCCAATCTTCATTCCACCAAATTCTCCATCATCATAATCACCCAGGGCAGGCTACAATAGGCCAATCAGTGGCCACCATGCCAAGTGGACCCAGTTGGAGTCCACCCCCCACTATGCGAAAAATGGCCCTGGGGTTCAACTCAGCCTCTAACAGAAATGAGTACCAGGAATTAATTAAATAATTTTCCTTGGGGATTAAAGCGCGGCCAGCACGTAAGGCTGACAACCTTACAACCATCTTTGAGCCAATTGTCTAGATAATGTGGGACCCTCAACGTCTCACAACCCTATGGGCTTTCATGGCCTGTTACAGGGATAGCTTTACTCTTTTTGCTTTACATGTTTCGACACTTATAGAATCATCCTCAGTTGTTGTGATTTACACATTTTCATTATTGAATTATAAAGTGTGTATACATATTTACATACACAGGCTTAAAATGACTACTTTCTATGTACATTTATTTTCTAACTGCTAGATGTTGATTTAAATACAAAATATATAAAATAATTTTACTTATTTTTAAAATTAATTTGAAAGTGCTGCATGCTGTATTCAGCTTAGTGTCTGTTCCTATAGTGGACCACGCAACTTTTCGTCTGATTCTTGTATTGTTGGCTAGATTCGTTTGTGTTAACTGTTTCTTGAGCCCAAATTTATCTTCTCCCTTATTTCCAGGATGTCAGTTTTTACTGTTGTTGATCTGTTTTATGTTGTATACTTTGCTGCATGGAACATAAGTTAATAAGCCATAGTTGTGTTGACGGTGGAATTTGTATTATTGGTCATACTCGCACAACAGGATGCAAACATTAAAAATAGTTGTCACCATATTTAGTTCAAAATTAAATCTTTTGCAGATCTAACAGATGATGAAGATGTTATTGAAACACTGAGGAACAGTAGAAAACTCTCAAGGAAAGATGCTTTGACTATAAGAAAGAGGATAGAGACCGAGAAGGACATGCAGAATTGTTTCGGGTTTGATGTAAGTACTTTGTTATTGGAATGTCCTTAGTGTATTCAGCTCCCTTTGGTTTCCGTATTGGCCTTCCTTGATATAACACCAGAACACAAAGATCCTATGGATTGCTGGTAAAGTACATGTAAGTGGTACAGTTTGACACCATTGCTGACCTGTCACAGTAGGCAGAAAATGATGACAGCAGTCACGTTATACAAGGAAAGCCAGTTGTGGCTCAGCTGACAGTCTCACATAACATCGCACTGTAACAGTTAAAATCTTTTTGTTCTTCTAGGACGAAGGAGATGATGTGGATGATGAAGCCGCAAAAACAACAATCCAGCTGCTAGAAGCCATCCACTAGTAGAGTCATCAAATTTGCGGTCTTTTTCCTTGTAGGTACTTTGTTCATGGGAGAGACCATGCAGTTGAAACATACTTTCTTTTGTTTATGCGGTGTACATTGGTGGTATGGGGTTCGTCAGACTCATGGAACCAGTTTACTTAGTGCAGTTGTGCACTTTTTTTGTGGTGTCACTCTGTGAGTGGTGCAGTGTTGTGGATTTGTTTTTTCTGATTATGAAATCATCCATTTTACAAAAGAAGTGGGTGATGATCCAGAATGACTTTTTCTACCTTCCTTAAAATATTTCTTTTACTTGATGTTTGATGCCAAGTGTGAGAAACTTGTTTCCATTGCCTCATAGTGATGAAATGTACAAAAAAATATATAGGTCTCTATAGACATTCTGAAGCAGGAAGAAACTTAAGTATACCCTTTCATGTAATGGATCGTACATGCATGTTGAACTTTCAGACTTCAGTTTTTAATGCTGGTAATTATACAGAGGCTTTGAATGCGTCTAGGTGTTAAAAGCATGGTATAGCCATGTTTGATGCCAGTAGCTCATTATCCTGGAGGATTTCCAAGTGGACGCAAAAGTGATTGCTTTTAGTTTGATATATTACTGATTTCAGGTACACTTCTGTTTTCAAGTTTACGTGCCCAGCTTGACACAGAAAATGTTTATAGTGAATGGTTGTAGAACATAAAATCTGTCAGTGCTGAAGCTATTCAGCTGGAAATGTTTCGTATGGTTTATGAAGATTGCTGGTTTATAAGAATGTTTGCAGTTTTGCAGGACATATGAAGATTGCTGGAAATATGATTATGCAGTGAAAAGTTGTTGCATGTTCCCAGAATGATGGTTAGATTTGTTTCATTTTGAGAGGTAATAATTTCTTTCTACATGCAGTTTTCCCTTGCTGTAGGAGTTTACATGTACAGAATGCTCACAGTAAATACAATAGACTTGTCATTTCATTATTTTATTATTGAAGTGCTTTGTCTCCTAACTCTTTCTGCAGCTGATATTGAGCACAAAGTTTGTATCTTTTCATGATATAATAATTAGCATGACAATTGTTTTACCATTTCAAGAACACTTTGTCTATAATTTGTTGAAAGGTAAATTTTGTGTTGATACTTCCTTTGAAGTTGGCCGTTAGTAAGAAAATGGATATCATGGCTTGAACATTCCACGCTATCAGTTGAATGCGTGAAGTTGAAGTCGCCTCATGACATCTTGGACTGCTGGTTTGAAATTGATAATATTTTTAATCTTTGATCCCAAGCCATATCTAGAACTAACTGTAAATGCCTAAGTTTCTTGAAGGTGAACACATTTGCACAGAAAGACTCAGCAATACTTTCCTTAAATGACATTCAAACAGCAACAGAAATATATCCTGTGAAACACTGTTCTTTCCACTACATGTCAGTATCTCTGTTGGCAGAATATTAACCATGAAATGACATTGTGGGAACTGCCCACATTCAAGCAATGAAGCTCGTGTTGTCACACTTGCTTGAATGTGGGCAGTTCCCACAACGTCTTTGTCTGTGACAGTTCCAATGCATGTACTCAGAATTGATGTAGCTGGCACCTGGCATGTTAAGGATTTATTCTATTTCAGGACTGTTCTTCCAGTCTCTGGAGGAGCAGAAGTTCCTGAAATTGAAAGTAAGAAACCTTGTGGTACACATAGGTACATGACAGTTCTCAACTTCTTGGCAGATTGTAATTCAAAATAAAAATTAAAATGTGTACAACTATTATGAAATCAAGAGTAGTTCTTTCCACCTATTTGGATTCTAAGCTCATAACTTTTTACAATAGAATTGCACATTGTTTTGTCTATATTTTGGAGGTTTGTACAAATGTAGGTAATAATTAGACGATGTTAATGGTCTCAAATAAAACAGAAGAATGATAATAGCTGTGAAATTTGGAGATTTCATATCATAATTCAACTCTTGCCTGTAAATGAGTCTCTACTCCCATTTTGTTCTTGGAGTTACAGCCTTCTATTCTAGTCTGTACAGCTGAAGAGGATTTGTGTAGATGGCTGAATGAAAAAGTTTACAGCAATGTGTAGTATAGAAACAAGAAAATTTTAGTGGTTGCTCACAATTTAGTCCCACACTAGCAAAAGTGATTACAAGTATTTAAATTTTATCATATTGAAGCCAAGGCCTTCAGAACATTTATTAGAACATGCTCCCATTCAAAAGTGAGCATTTAAGTGCCAACATTTAAACTACTTCATAAAGCACTGCTTACATCAGTAATGATTTCCGCTTTCCCCACCTGGAAATTTGAAGCAAACACTTACCTCTTAAAATAAGCACAATAGATCACTGTAGATCGCGGTGCAAGGACCAAGAAGGCCCACCCCTCATACGTTCATACCTCTTAAAATTGCAATGCCTGCAAATCAAGGTTCTCCACACCACTAGAAATTTTTCAAGGTGCACACCGATCCACAATTTGCACACAGCATTTAACCTTGTGTGTG